ATGCCAGCCAACAGAGACTACACAAAACCTCGTGCTTGTTTTAGTAACGCAATTTAACAAACACAGCAACTTGCTGCCACTTTAATTTTAAAGTATTGTTTGTTTTAACACTAAATATGATAGCAATAGTGGCAGTATGTTAATCAGCATCGGGACAGTAGTATAAACTCAGCAACTCCCACTCTGGATTTAATCTGGTGACGAGTGTAGCGTTTAACCTAGTAATTATCATGTAATTCAGACTGCAGCAGTCAGATGAGAAGCATGACATACAGTGCGGTGTCGGTGCGTTGGTTTGGATCCTTAACAGTATTCTGTATCAACATCGTTGAATAAAACCGGCACGCATAAAATAATTTTTGAGCAACACTACCGCTGGATGACACACAGAAGGTCACATGCTGCGATGCTAGCGAAGTAGCATCCAGATTAGCGGCTCAAAGACGCGCTAGCAGCTAGCATTTAGCTATAGCTAGCCTCCACCGCCGCTACTACTGGTGCCTTTAGTGAAGCCGGTTTTCCCGGTGGACATTCACTGAAATTAATTTAAAAAGCAGCATATAAGCGTGGCCCGGTATGGACGTCTAAGGAGAATTAAAGGGTACGTGCCACGTTGATTAGCAAACCGGTCGCTGAAAATAAGACCATCTCTCCTCAACATCTGCAGAGCGCTCACGCCGCAACACATTCTCACCTCTTTCCTCTGCAGCTGCGCTTTCAGTCTCTGAAGCACCGGATCAGCTAGATTAGCCTCTGCAACCACAGCTCTGAGAAGGATGAAGACATCGTCTGTTAACTCGGCGTGCTTGTCCCTAAATTACAACCGTTGGTCCGCTTAAAAACCAATATAAAATTAAGTCAAATTGTAAATCAGAGCATCACCGGGCCACTGCTGCCAGCCCGGAAGATATAAAGTGACGTCACGACGCTTCTCTGCCTGCGATTGGAAGACTGGAGGTGGCGCGTGCTTGGGCCAACAGAGACGTCAGAGAGGTTATTATCGGTCACAGCCGTCTACGCGGTCCTACAGCAGTAGACACAGAGTGTGGCCGCCCGTGAGGCAATAGGTTTAGTGGGCTGTTAAGTGACCGCAAGTCACATATTATTGTGTTTGATAAGCAAGTCGGCGATCTGCCAAAGAAGAGACAGACAGCTGTCAAATGGGCGAAGGGAAACGAGACGAAGGGAAAACAAGCTATACATACCGCAATAAGTGTAAGACGCTAGGTTGTCTTGAGCAAGAACGGTTACCAAAACCACCGAAACTCCTTACCTTCCTCTTTTTGTCGACAGCTTATTAAAACCTAGGAATGTAAAGATTGACTACCTCCTTATCAGCTTTGATTGACTGTATTTCATTCCAATACATATCCCAGACCATCAAAATGATACACTGAAACGTATATGAATTAAAACCACGATGCTGTGCGTTCAAGCACCAGACCAAGGAGCACTTAGTGAGTAATCTAACTCACATCACAGTCTATTAAAATTTCAGTACCCTACCAGATATGTCAGTTTCCCCCCAAGTATTTAATTCAAATATCTAACTGCATGTGATTGTTGCACAGTTTTATTTAAGAGTTCTGAATCCTTGAAAATAGCACACTTTTACCACAATATATTTCCTGAATTAAGAAGACGAAAGAAGCGTCTGAACTGTTGTTTCATACTTCTCCATAATTGTTTTTTTGGAGTTTCTATTCCTCCAAACTATCTGGCTCACGTTGTACTCGTGGTTCTTTTCTGGTCTATTTCCTCTCAATAGTGTGTGTGACAGGATAGAAATGAGAGAGTAGAAATATGAGGAAGATGATGAAGCTGCAGTGAGTGATTAAAGTTAGGATAAAGCTTGTTCCATATCAGCCTCTCCAAACTAAATTCATCTTTATAAAAGGTTTATTTCCATGTACCTGTATCATGTGAGAGACAGCCAGCACTCTTAATAGAGCTTTCTACAATAATGTATTGATAATTAATGGTGCTACTGTTGCAATCAGTTCAGCCTGGCCTGTGGTGGTCACTGATATTCATGTAAAATCTGTTTTTGGGGGAAACAGTTAATGGATAGTTTGCGAATTCACTTATCAGAATAATAAAAAACAGCTGCTGCTAAAAAGATCACATGACTTGATAATGTGGTTCATTCATGTGTTTCACACACATAATAAACATAAATATGTGTGTGTTGGGTTTATTCTAACAGGCAGACATGTAAATACAATAATCACCAACATTGGTTGACTTTTAAGTGTCTTTAAAAAAAATCAATTCATATATATTTAAATATTTTTATGTAATTTTATAAAAAGAAACTTGTCTGCAATCTCATGTTTACACACCAGAGGGAGTTGCATCTCTTACGTGAGGCCCACACATTGCTCTCCTGTTTCAACTTGACTTAGACGTTATCCCAAAATGCTGCATGTGAGACAGAGGCAGAGGACAGATAGGAGAGAAACATCTCCTGTGACTGCTAAAAAGGAACACGATGAAAGTGAAACGGTTAGATGAGCTGCGTGCGACACTTTGACCCTGGACATCGATTTCTTCTCACTGTTCTTTAGAGTTTTTGCATGCTTGTTGGGCCATATGTTTTTACTGCCATTTTCTGACACATGTGCACACAAAGCCACACTTTCTCCACCACTTACACACAGACTTGGACTCACACAAGCTTGTGGTCACATGATGAGGCAAACTGCACACAGAAGGGTGATAATCTCACTCCTCGGGCTGTGTCTTTGAGGTCACGGCGGGACACGGACCGTCAGGGTGCAGATGCTGCAAGTACACACATCACTTTCATCTGCTCTGTGAAATATGTGTGTCCAATGTGATAATGACACAGAGACACACTCTGCACACACTTAAAACGATACAGGAAGAGAGAAAATGTATCATGCAACTGTCTGTCTCTTTTGAGTGTCCACGGCGTCTAATCACTGTTCCCCGGAGATTCACCCACGGTGTTATTTAAAATGTGATTCTTTCCCGCCAGTGTGATTACAACGTGATTACCTGCTACTTTAGTTATTCTGAGTTGCTCAACTTCAAATCGAAGTATTTTAAATTCTTCTCAACTTTCTGTTACTTGTGCACATCAGAAAGAGCACTTCTCATTTACAAAGGTTTCAGAATGTTAACCCTTTATTTACCACAGGCCTGCCAGTGGGCCTATTTTACAGGCATTCTTGACCATGACCATAACTCAGTTAACGTTTGAGATAGAGACAAAATTCAAATGGTTTCTGAAAAATCTCAATTACTTCCCTTTTCATTTTACAGCCAAAATTACAAATTAGGTCTTTAGCATGTATAGATCATAGTCAACAAAGGGTTAAGTTAAAAGAAAAAGCACAACTGCTTACAATTTGAACACTTATTGGCTATACATGTGTTTGATGTCTCAGTTGCAAGGTCACATGCTATATGATCCATGTCAAAATCTGCTGAATCCTATGCAGCATTGTGTACGTATTCTCTTTTTTGACACCTGAGCATTTGTGAGTGAGTTACAACCTTTTGCAGGTTAACTGTAGTGTTTTTTTCTGCATGTATTTCTGGGGAGATTTGGGAGAGCTTCAAGGCTGCAAAATTTAAAACGTTTGGAGAAATACACCAAAACCCACTGAGCAAAATTGTGGAGAGAGTGATGACCTCAAAACCTGTTCCTTTTTGTTAGAGATGTTCCACTGTCAGTGTGTTCTTTTAAAGGTAAAACTGGTAAACTAATAATGTTTGACCCCCCCCCCCATCTGATTATGAAAATCTCTGATATCTAGTTGGACGTATAAGGAAGAGGAGGGTGGGAGTGTGTGTGTGTGTGTGTGCTGTGTAGGGATTAGAGAACAAAAGGATCCTTCTCTGTCATCAAAGAGGATCTGCTCTCGACTCATCCCCTGCTCTGTAGCGACAGCTTTTTATTTTTCGGGAGTGGGAGTGATGGCTGGAGGGAGGGTGGGAGATGGTGGGAGAGTTTGATGGCAGGGGATGCAGATTTCAAAGTAATCTTTAACTTTAAGCCCCACAGTCCCCATGAAATGAAGCCCTCTGCCCCAGACACACTGTTGCCTATGGCTCCCAGTGGAAGCCTGCTATCCCTCTTTTTTTTTCCTCCTCAGGCTTTTGTCATGGTGGCACTTAAGTGGTATTACTCACTGACCGGATGACCAAATGAAGGAGTTCCTTTGAGAGACCTGAAAGAGATGGATTTTAACTCCAGAGACCAGTGTCGCCTCTTAAAACAACACTAAGTGGATATAAATGCCTACTGTGTTACTGGGATTCAGCAAATACCACAAACCAAATGGAGTCATCTCCTTGATCAGGATGGATTTAATAACCCAAACCCAGTGCACTGAAAGTGCTGCTGTTCTTATGATGATGAGACACAGCAAATACATGCAACAAATCCACAAAAATCCAATAAAACACTTGCTCTAAAAGCCATCTAAGCATGATTTTAATGATTTGATAAAGATAACTGAACCCCCATCAGGTTATTCAAGACAGCCTGCACTTCCATTGTGTCATCACTTCAAAAAACTACTTATTTAGGCCCCCAACCCCAAAGTTATTTTTCTCATCTTGTTAAGGCCCATGCCCCCTCAGGGTGACTGACCTGGGATCCCCTGCTGCTGCCCCGGCCCACCATGGGGAGTCAGTGTAATCACACAGAGGTAGTTTTAAGGTAAACGGGCACAGAAGATAGGAATAATTCTGTCATGTCCCATTAGCTTTACTCATACAGCTGTTTCAATGCACCTTGGGACGCTAAGCTAAAGCCTGCTTTAAATTTTAAGTTATTATTAATGGCTCTGTTTAGGTAAAGTGTCCCAGTAAAGCATGACAGTGTGGCAAAGAGTCTGCACAAGTTCAAACATACCTTTTACTAAAGTGCCATACGGGATTTATAATCACTCTGAAAAAATAAAATGATAACCATTTCCCTTTGAATAGTTCTCAACAGGCTGGGTTTCGTTGGTGTATCCGGGTGATCACGTGATATTGAGATAAACTGAGTCGCTTGCCTCGGTTTCAGGCTGATAAAGCATGCAGGCTAACCAAGTCAGGATGAGCGAGAACAGGGCGAGAATGCTGGCAACAGACAAGCAGACAGGGACGAGCGACCTGATGTGGCTGAGGTTATGCACAAAGACGAGGCCCAGAAACAGGAGCAGCAGCGTGGAGAGGAAGGAGAAGATGGCGCACACGCAACTGGTCTTGAATGCAACGTGTTTGCACGCCTCCCATCCGCTGTGGCCGGTCTCCGTGGAGGTCGCAGGAGAGGCGGGCAGACCCGGCAGCCTTTCCGCGTTTAATGAGTCCTCGGGCTCCCGCTTTTTGTGCGAGAGCTCCTCGGTGAGAGCTGTGTTGTCGGGGAGGTTGCGAACCCGACGTTCCGGTAAAGGAGTTCGGTGGCGACACACGGGACAAACGATTCTCCAGCCCCGACCCTCCCGGAAGTGCAACGTTTCGAGGCATTCCAGACAGAAGGTGTGGGAGCAGCTCAGCAGTTTGGGACTGTGGCGCTCCAAATCGAAGTAGTTGTAGCATATTTTGCACTCGCTTTCCTCCCCATGGATGCCTCCTGCACTGAGCGCCTCCGCCATGTTCTCCATTATTGGACCGCATTAACTGCTTTATTTGACAACACTGTCAGTACACCGAGTCTCACATTTCGCCATCACACATAAGAGGACCTCCTGAAGTGGAGGACTGCAGGAAGGCAGTGTGAAGTGGAATAAATAATATTTCTGGTTGTGTTGAAATCGCGTTCCTTTCTGAGCATCGCCGTGATCTCAACACCGGAACTAACTGTTAAGCGAAAAATATATATCTAATAATAATACTAATACTAATAAATCCATAGACATTGTCAAATTGATTTCTCCATTGGTCTCTGTCACCTGGCAGATTTGTCTCAAGCGTGAATCACGTGTATAAGTTGCATCTAACAGGCCTATTTAACCGTATAATTAGAATTTAGTGCCCGCGGTGTCAGTAAAGGGCACCATGTGTTGATTCCTCTACACTTCAGCACCACAGGCAGTGGACAGCGCCAAGCAGGATGATCAGCGGTGACACCTTCAGCCCGGCGCTGATCCGCTGTTGTGCAAGTTTTAGCTCAGAGAGCACCACATGGGTTACATACCAGCAGCCGGTTTAGAGATTCGTGAATGTTCTTTTTTATTATCATGTTTGATATTAATAACCATTTCCAGGAGACTCTCATGGAAATGGTTCTTTTTATTGCAAGCATAATGACTCATATACAGTTTTAAACTTTTGTCCGCCCTAGTAATACAAGGAGTATCTGCTCAACTTACATACATTTACACCCTATTTGGTTTGTGTGGAGAAATATTATCATCATTATTTTATTTAATGAGAAATTATGAAATTATTTAATTTAAATAAAGTCAGACCACTGGTATAATGCACAAATGTGTTATGTCTGTCCTTAAAAGTTTTACATCCCCATCCATAGTATCGATCTCTGAATATGGAGTTAAAGTATACTTGAAACGTTTCAGAGTCAGTAGAGTCATCTTAAAGGAATTCCCTGCCAACATAGATGAAGAAGATTTCATGCCCTTTCCACACAGAAACTATGTGTTACATGTTAGGACAAGCTTCTGTCTTCAGGCTGTATCTTTACACATGATAGCACACACACACTGGCCTGCAGGATGTGTCGACGTACAATGGGCCCTCTTGTGGCGGAATTTATGCTTGCATGTTTAGTGAAAGCAGTGTTAATCTATATAAATGAACAACATTACATGTAGTTAAAACGTTTTAACAGCGCGGTAATTCCAGCCATTAATGAGGACAGAGTTATGTTGGTTAGAATACACTTTAAATTGCTAGCATATCAGTGCTCCTTTATAAAAACTATTATAAACTTCATTCTAATCATGGATTTAATGACGATTGGTGTTTCGCTTTAGTTCCTGTATGATTCAGAAGTAAAGTGATTCATCAGTAAAATATATAAATGAAGAAGAAATGTGTCAACACATAATGAGATGAATTTCTGACAATAGAAATGTTGTCAGCGCCAAGATTTTTAAACAAAAACATGGAAAATGCATATAATTGAACTCTTTCAAGCTCTGTAGCCCCCTGTACTGGGACTGCTCTGTATCTGCTTTTAATAAATCAGTAAAGGGGATGTGAAATACTAGGACTAAAATTGATTTAGCATTGTTCTCTTTTTCTCTTCCATCACACAGTTACACCTAAGAACGTAACACTGTAACTCATCACAGACTCATTCATTCAAGGCTGTTATCACACTCCGGTTCTCTGGCTTATGGTTGTTATTGGTCTTAAGCAGAAACATCAGTTGCTGTTTTTTTTAAAGCTCAATCTGGCCCTGCGATAGAGAAAATGACATACCAAAATACTTCTTGCAAATCATATTAATTATGGCAAAAGTCACCCGAGTGTTTCTTATCCAGAGAGACCAAGGTTGTTTGGCCTTCTAGTCGACTGAATTCATCCTGCATGTATTTTCAGGGAAATTAAGAAAAAGCCCTAGAGCTTGATGGTGTCTTGGGTTACTGCTTCAGAATATGTTTGACATATTTATTCTTTTCCCCCCTGTACATTAGAAAATAAAACTGAACTCAGAATATGTAATCCTTGAAGATGTGCAAAAATGAGCAGATTATGGATAGGATTCGCTTGTGTTATATATTTTGTGATTTTAAAACAAAAGCCTATTGAATGATGAATTTCCACATCACACGTGTAAAACTAGTCATTTCTAATCATTAAAAGAATCTATATTGCACTGAATTTGCTTTGGATGTAAAACTTTCTTTGGCGAAGCAATAATTCTGCTCCTGTGTATTGTCATAACACCAGATATCATCCCTCCGCCAAAGAGAAACACACACACACACACACACACACACACACACACACACACACACACACACACACACACACACACACTCGCATTGAAGTAAGAGTACAGTGTATTGCAGGTTAAATAATAATCTTACTGAAGGTGGCAAATGATGGTTCATCATCTCAGTGTTTGGGTCTGTAGTTACTCAGCTATTAAAGCAACCCCGCATGCCCCGAGGTTGTATGGTTAACAAATGCTTTGCTTCTCTTTTTGTTTGTTCTCCCTCACCTAAGCTCACCTTATAGGTCTTTGTTATGATAACTGCACTCAGCGTGAGTTCCCACTGAAGTCTGGAGAGCCACACATATTTGATAAGATCAAACACACTAGAAAAACAGTGCAGTCTTTTGGTTGT